TGAGTATTATTTGAAGGCGCTAGTTCTGTTTTCAAGTTTCAATTTTGCTCAATTTGGTTTCAGTATCATTTCCGTTTCAGTTCAGTCACTCAGATTGGTTAGTTCAAGATTAAATTGTTTCAACTGTGCTCGATTTCTGCTTGGTTAGTTCAAGATTTAATTTCAGGTGGTGTTTGGCTTAGCTTTTCACAGCCAAAATCCTTTTTGGAAAAGAAAAAAAAGCAAAAGATGTTTGACAAAATTAGTTTTAAAAAGCTACTTTTGGAGTTTTGATACAAGGAAAAGGAACTTTTTGGACAAGTCAGTAAAACCTGACTTTTTATAACTTTTCCAAAAAGGACTTTTGGGCTGTGAAAAGCTAAGCCTCAAAGTCGCAAAAGGGCGAAATAAATTCCATACCAGTAAAAAGGAACCACCAGTCCCTGTAGAATTGAAACTTGCGATCTTCACCAATTGCAACTGTGCTCGATTTCTGCCTTGGTTGGAGTGAGTTTTTGGTTAAATGGAGATGATTGAAACTGTATATTCCTTTTACACAAAACATAAAATTAAAAAAAAAAAATGTTCTGTTCTTTGGTTCGTAAATCGCGGCAAGTATCAATAAAACTACAGGGGGTCTTTATGAAAATTGTTCAAAGAATAAGGACTCAAAGAAAGTATTAAAAAAGTAATCGACCTCCACTAAAAAGAGTCTGCAAAAGTCATTTTGTCGACGAAACTCTTCTTCATTCTTCGGCGGCGGCAGCAGCAACGCCGTGGTGCTCAGGGCTTAATAACTGAATTTGTTTTTACCTATTCTGCGGTTAGTAAGCATCGATTCTAATGGATTTCTTTTTCCGTTTCTTAAACCTTTCCCCGATTTACTTGTGATCTGTTTATGATAGAATCCGTTCTACTTATGGAATATTTAGTTTATTCTTTATTTGTTGTTGAAATACGCTAAATATTGCGTGTATTTAAGTTTACAATGTTCAGAAAGTAGTTGTCAATCTGATATATGTAAAAAATTCCCTTTTCCGAGTACCATAAAGCTAAATTTGGTACTGATGTTCATCTTATTCTTCTTATGCTTATGTTTACATTCATGTATATTTGAATTCTGCTTTCCATTTAAGCAGATGGAAGGAATTGACTCAATGTTATTGATTTTGATAGGACATCAGCTTCATTCGTCAAACCCTAGCTAAACCCCTGTTTATCTTCTGGGATCGATATTTAAGTAACGACCATGAGTACTCCTTTAAACGAAGGTGAAGATCACGGTGATGTCTTTCTTGATGAAGATGACATCGTAGAAGAAATCAATGTAGACGAAGAAGGTAATTTTACTTTCTACCCCTGAATTTACATACCTTCTCTTTCCAGTTTCAAATCCACATATCACAAAACTTCATTCCCCTTCTTCAGATCTCCCTGATGCAGACGATGATGCAGATTCTGATACTGAAGCTGATGGTTTGTAAAAGACTCTAAAACCATTTCTTTTCTTTTCTCTTCTTTTCTACTCAAACACTTTTTTGTTCAATTGCTTTCTCTACAGTAGACGAAGCTGATGATTCAGTGCACATATTCACTGGCCACACAGGTAACTAACTAACATTCTCTATTAACTCATTATTTCTTCAATTAAGTCAAAAAAGAAACACTCAGACATACACATATAGCTTACCAGATTAAGTCTTTATAATAGGTGAAGTATACACAGTTGCATGTAGCCCTACAGACCCTACATTAGTGGCAACAGGAGCAGGTGATGACAAAGGGTTTCTTTGGAAAATCGGTCAAGGAGATTGGGCTTTTGAATTACAAGGTCATAAGGATTCAGTGTCTAGTGTATCCTTCAGTTCTGATGGACAGCTGGCAGCTTCCGGAAGCTTTGATGGTGTCATTCAAGTTTGGGACATCTTATCAGGAACCTTAAAATGTACCCTCGAGGGACCCGGAACAGGGATCGAGGTAGTACACTAATCTTGTACTATCCTCTTTTTTTCTGGGGGCTGTTTGATAAAAGCTGACAGAAGTCTGTCACTCTGTCAGCATTCAATGCGTTTGATACAAGTACAACCTCTGAACCATTCAACAGTGGATGGTTCAGTATTATCAAACAGCCCCCTTTATTTATTTATTTTTTTGTGTTTTGGGCTGATGTGAGTGTTTAGTGGGTGAGGTGGCATCCACGTGGACACCTGGTTTTAGGTGGTTCGGACGATTCGACTGTTTGGATGTGGAATGCTGACAAGGCGGTTTATCTTAATACTTTCTCTGGTCATGCTAGTACTGTCACTTGTGGTGATTTTACTCCTGATGGTAATTTTTGTCTGTTAAGTCGTTCTTTCTGTATTAAGTCAAAAAGTCAAAAACAAACACTTACTCTGGTATTTAGGTAAAACAATTTGTACGGGTTCTGATGATGCAAGTTTGAGGATATGGAACCCAAAAACTGGAGAGAATATTCATGTTGTTAGAGGTATGTATTTTTCATTGCTTCTTATCATTAAAGATTTTAATTTAAATATTTGTATTTCATCTTTTTTTTTTTTTTTTTTTTTTTTTTTTGTATCAAGGTCATTTTTATCACACCGAAGGGCTTACATGTATGGCAATAACCGCTGACTCATCTCTCGTTCTTACCGGTTCAAAAGACGGTTCTGCCCATGTAGTCAATATCATAACCGGGAAGGTTCGAATAATTTCATCTTTTATTTTAATTCATTAAATTTTCATATTTCTTTTTATTTTTTTGTTTACATATTTTAATTATTTCTTTTTTTTCGAACACAGGTTGTGACTTCTCTAACTTCACATACGGATTCAATCGAATGCATCGGGCTCTCATCTAGGTAATTTCAAACAACACAGTTTGTATTCTGTACATTTCAGGGGTAAAAAAGTCTTTTCAGTTTTAACTAACTACACGACATGAATTCACGTGTCAGCTCTCCATGGGCAGCAACCGGAAGCATGGATAAAAAACTCATCATCTGGGATCTACAACACTCTATACCCCGTTGCACTTGCGAACACGAGGTTCGTTTCGTCATATCTTGAAAAGGGTAAAAAAGTCTTTTCACATGGTTTTAACATTTCCATCTTTTGTTGTTGAGCAGGAGGGGGTGACGTGTCTGTCATGGGTAGGTGGGTCCCGATTTGTGGCGACAGGGTGTGTGGATGGGAGAGTGAGGATATGGGACAGTCTGTCTGGAGAATGTGTTAAGACATTGAGAGGACACTCTCATGCTATTCAGTCATTGGCTATATCAGCTGATGGAAATCATTTAGTTTCTGTCTCACTTGATGGAACTGCAAGAGTATTTGAGATTGATGAATTTCACTAAGTCAACAAAAAGTCAAACCGTGTTATTACCATTTTGATATCTTTGTAAGATTAATACATATGAATCATACAAACTCCTTCAGATATTCAACTGTTTGATTGTTTTTTATTGTTCAATCTTCTATGCGTAAACAATTACTTCTCTCGTTTCTTTATAGGTAAATTGTTTTTTATTGTTCAATCTTCTATGATTATTGGTTAAATTTCTAAAATAGATATTGTTCAATCTCGTAGTAAAATATATTTGTAATATACTAATATCTATTTTTGTTGTGTCAAGAAGTTTTGTGTTATTATATTACGTTAAATATTCTTTTATTATTAAGGTCCAGTGATAAGTATATTTAGAATATGAATGTAACTATGATGACGTGAAGATTATGATCACTGGTATGTCTATTATTATAACAAGTCCTTGAGTGTGTTACGTATGTTTGGCGACTAAAATTTAGCTTTTAAGAAAAAAATTTAAATATAGTTTTTGTTTGAACTATAAACTTAAAAGTTTTTATATTAAAACAAAAATTGTTAATTTAAAAGCTCTTTGAAATAGTTTTTAGTTTTTATATGACTTGACACCTTACCTTACAACTATTATGCAAATATAGTTTGGCCAAACTAAATGATAGTTAATGAAGGTGATATGGAATAAATCAATAGGTTTTAGAGGTTTTTTTGGTAAATCATTCCGAATGCTTAAGTGAATGGTTTCAATATATTACTAATAGTTAGGGTTAGAGAAGACAATTCCAAGACTTTTGATTTTTTAGTGGTCATTAAGACAATATAAGCGATCTGAATATTAAATGATTCAAACATCCAAATTTTTAAAGATTACCAAAGTACCCCTTGTTAAGTTTTGGGTGTCAAAATGTCAATGGTCTTCGTCCCCAAAGATTTGTTAATGTGTCAGTCACGTGAACTTTTTGTCCTTTTCATTATATTTTGGTAGAAGGCAATCAATGCAATCCAAATGTACACGAAGCATTTAATGTTGTACATTTCCCTATTCACCAAAGCTTGAGTATATTCTATAATTGCCTTTTCATGAGTTACGTGGTAATTGTAACTAAACTATATTAATTTTTTTTTATGTAAACACAGTTTTCCAATTGAAATATTGTACAATATTCAATTCGTATACTAACAGATATGATAAAAAAATCTTATACCTTTTGTATACATAGTTTTTTCTTTTGTCACAATTCTATATAAAGATTTTTTTTTTGGTATCATATGCTTGACCAAATTTCTAACATCAATCAATGGTGTTCACTCATAAATGCATTGTTTCTAGATTCAAAAAATTTGACCTATCATTTGGTCCAATTTTTGTGGGAAATTCTCAACTCACAACAACATGTGAAAGCTTCAAATAAGGGGTGTGGCCAAGAATCATGTGAAGTGCATCAAATGTAACCCTAACATTAATTACTGAAATCTCATATCTATGTATATAAATGTTTATGTTTATTCATTCTCCAAACCCCTCCCAAATCTTGACTTCTTTTTCTTACATGGTTTTGACCATCTTCTATTTCTATTCATAGTCTCAATATATATATATATATATATATATATATATATATATATATATATATATATATATATATATATATATATATTTTTTTTTTTTCTTTTAATCCTAAAAAGAAAAAAGAAGAGTTAAGAAAATGAAGCACATCCATTCACTTAAATTCCACACTTGGTTTTTTGTCATTATTGTTTTCTTGGTTCTTAGCCATGGTGGAAGTCTTCATCCTCATCATTGTAAGGGCTTTATATTCATTGCATACTCTTTATGTCCATGTGCACTTGGTGTGTGGTTATTGTTCTCATTGTAGTTAGCTAAGGTCAAAGTCTTCATCTTTTTATTTTTATGGCAAAATCGTCATTTCACATATATTTTATATGGCAATTGGTACGTACACTTGGTTTATTGTGATTATTTCCCTCTTGATCCTTAATGGGGTCATAGTCTTCACCTTATCATTCTAATGGTTTCTTGTCCTTATTGTTTTGTTGATACTTAATCATGGTCAAAATCTTCATTGTCGTTGTTGTAAAGGGTAACATTATCGTTTTACATTTTTTATGTGTATAAACACTATCGTTTCATTGGTACTATTTCTTGTAAGGGTAAGTTGACATTCATTTTTCGAAGTTATCTTCATAACTTCAACTTGGTAGCATCCATTTCACTCTGTTGAAAATGAAGATGGTAGTCTATTGCTCATTGTTCTCTATTGTGTATTTCAGTCATGCATGGAGAGAAGATAACTCATGGTGATCACCAAATTCATTCACACCCCAAGGTTAGTTTTTCAATATTCATCCCTTACTTTGACTTTGGCTTTAAATGTCAAGTGGTAACTTACATTTTGACTTTGATGTCTCAATATTGAAGACAAGAAAAAAATTAATTGTTACATTAAAACATACAATAAAATGCTACCAAAGAAAAAAGAAATGGAAGTTAATTATGCGAAACTCTTTATCAAATTTAGAACTAAATTAACATCGTTTTGACAATGATTTAAATAGAAAAATAGAGAGTTTTATATTCGGTGATTGGATGCAGAAAACCTTTTCATCAAAGACACTACGAAATGTTGGACAATAGCACCATGAGACATACAAACCAGACTATTTACAAATTAACAATTTTTTCATATTACAATTACAATCTATATGGATAAATACAAGCTCTTACATGTGTTTTAAATTCTATAAAGCTCATCTAAACTTTTGTATATATTTTGTAGAAGCAAAAATATGAAGAATTATATCCAACAGGGTCAAACATACCAGATTGCTCACACGCTTGTGGGCCATGTTTTCCATGCAAAAGGGTGATGATAGGCTACAAGTGTCCGATGACCGAATCATGCCCAGTCATTTATAGATGCATCTGTAGAGGCAGATACTATCATGTTCCATCAAACTAAGTATAACTTCTTTTTTTGACTTGTAATAGGGGAATTGTTTGGACTAATCTAAGTTTTTAATTTTTTTTCGATCAATTTATGGAACTTTTATGTATTCTTCTATTTCTAGAAAATTTGTATGTTTTTGAAACCATTATCTAGTTGATTTAAAAGAATTTCGACTTTAATCAAACAACATGGTTTCGGAAGAGAGCTTTTTGAGACTTGACTCAGAGCTTACTAAGTTAACAGCTATCAATAATTTTTGTACACATAATATGGTCGATAAACCGGACCTCTTGCATATATAGATATACATACATACATTCATATATATATATATGCTCACAATATTACAAATTATATTTACATTTTAGTTCACGAAACGAGTAAACAGATTATAAAGTAGCAATGGGATTGATTGATATGAGGTGATTTTATGAAAGTAAAGTTGCTAGTAAAAATCTCTAGATTTGCTAATGGCGGCTAATGAAAACTCGAAAAAAGTAGATTGATTCATGAAAGTAAAGTTGCACGATCATGAGGACGACCAGACCAGATTGAACTCAGTACACGAAGACGTTGAAAGTATTCACCAAGTGCAAGCAATGCTTTTGCTGCTTGACGAAGTGTTAAGATCTGATACATTTGTTGCAGAGTCTGTTGCCGGAGGTGATCCGCCTGTGAAGTTTTTTTGGACATTCCGATTAGAGAATGAGGAAGACGATCAAAGCTTATTTCGAATTTTACCTGATTCAAGAAAATTTCAAGCGCTTCGAGCCTTTCGAGTGCACAATTCATCTGTGTTGTGTAACTTCCGGCTCCGGTTATGTCGATTGTGATGCTCTGAGCTAACGTCTGTTGAAGCTTTTCCATTCCTTGACTCAGTGCCTCCTCCGCTTGCTCGCATGATTGCCGGAGACCCCTCGCCTTCACCAGTTGCGTATCCGTTAACTCGATTTGTGGTATCAGTATCTGCCACCAATACAAACCCTAAAATGTTATTTGTTTAATTGAAATTGACAGCGGAAGGCGGAAGCTTACGTATAAGAGCTCAGATGGCCGGAATCCGCCGATCCATTGGAAGAACCGCTCCACCGGAGTTCTCCACAACCCGTTCAACAAATAAAACACGTCGGCCTTCGCGGCGTCCGCCTTCATTCGGAAAAGATCGTAGTAATGATGCAATCCACTGTCGACGAACATACGAAGCTCGACATCACTCGTATGAGTCAACAACACTTTCCGAAGATCATCGTCCTTCTTCCGTTGTTCCCCAATCCACAATTCATACTCCATTTCGAATGTAGCAATCCCGGCGTTCATTACATTACCAGATAACAAACTGTTGCCGGTGTTCAATAGACCACCGTATGCGCCCTGTAATCAACCAATCAACTACCCACACATCAGGTTCAGCCGTGAAATCGGAATTGGAAAATGGAAATTAACCTGCCGTCGAGCTCTCTCGAGTTCTTGTTCTAATTGCACCAATTTTAAACGGCCGGATTCCAATTGTTGAACATACGCCTGATAAAAAGTAAGAATCAAGTTGAGAATCAAACCAGGCTCGATTCATGATCATGATTCATGAATTGCTTTCACGTTTCATGATTTGATCTAACCTTTTTCCTTAAACGACTTTTACGAGCAGCTTCACGATTTTGTGCTAGTCGTCTCTGCAACTACAACCAGACGAACACGAAGCATATGTCAGGTAACGTACATTCAAATTTCAAACACAAATTCAATACGATTGTTATCAGTTATCACCTTATCTGAAATTGTTTTTGTTGCTCGAGCTTCTGGCGATGGTTCTAACGATTCTTGAGAATTGTATTCGGTCTAAAAGAATCACAACAATATGATATTTCAATAATCTTGAAGAACATGATGTCATGATCCATACGCATACAGACAGACAGATAGATAGATATATATAAAACTTTAGTAATCTCAAAGACCTTGTTTGCTAGCCTTGAATCGACCTGTGTCATCATCATCATACCAGGGCTTGTGTTAGGGTTAAGATTAGCCCCAAAGCCATCGTCCCACATGCTTATTTGTTGCAGTGGATCGTATATTCCCATTCTTCTTGAGGTTACAAATTGAGTTGAAGTTGAGGCCATGGTTTACTTACAAAATTCTGATGAATTTTGAAAAAGAAAACGATAATCAGATGCATAATTAGCTTCAAAATCCTCATGAATTACTTCAGTCCAATAGGAAAAGTTGGTAATTATATCGAACTATATAAAAAAAGTTAGCAAACAGACCAAAAAACTACAAAATTCCTAAAAGTCAACATGATCATTCATAACAGAATATATAATTGCATAAAACTTCATAGGTAGATGATTTGGATCAAGAGTTTGTACAACATCTGATGCAGAGTGTACTACTTATGTAGGATTAATCATAGCATTAAAAAATACCTAAAAAACAAAAATTAGTTCATAAAAATTGCAACTTTGTCATCTGTTTCTATTCAAGCTACCAATATCCAGCTTGCAGCCTTCAATTCCTCTAAAAAATCACACACAAAAACACCTTTAAAATCGTTATTATATCAAGAAACACAAACTTAAACACACAGATTTAGACAGAAAAGCACCTACAAATCACTTAATTTATCAAGAAAAATGAAGAACAGAGAAGGGTTACTGAAAAGCTAACCTGTGCATGAAGGGCTAAATGGAGAAAGGGGAAATCTTGAAAAACCAAAAAAATCCAATTTTGTTGGGTTTTTTATAAACAAGAAACTAAACCCATTAAAATAAAGCAATAAATTATACTACTAATTTAGATGATATCAGAGCCACCCATCACCCATTGCCTAAAAGCAAAAACACCCAATTGTGTAAAGAATGAAAAAACCTAAATAAATTGACAAATTAAGCATTAAACTAATAAAACATAACAATAATAGTGTTGTGTTTACAATAAAAAAAAAGGCTAGCTGCTTTTCCAGTTTAAAGATTAACAAATTCAGATTAAAGTACAGCTTTTGATGCATTATGTATTAATTCATTTAATTAATCTTGTTTCTGATATTGAGGATTATTAATTTATTATTTATTAATCTGAGAAGAGAAAAGAGATGATCCGATTAAAGGATATGGCTTTTGAATGACATGGGGGGTTAGATTATTATATTTTGGAAATGCGTACCAACTCATTATTGGCACCAATTCTTTACAATCAGCCATTCATTTTCTCTACCTTTTTTCGGATACTGTTATATTCATCCAAGAGTTTGTGTTAATTTTCCAAAAAACATATACATATTTGCTTCATTTTCTTAAAAAACAAGAGGTTTATGACTGTATATAAGAATCATAGTATCAAAAATCCGACTGAAAAATAAGCTAATCATGTAAAACTAGACAATTTTTTATAGAGTAAATGTGAGTATTCGACCATTCTCATTATCTGATTTTTTTTTTTAAACCTATATTTTGACGTTTTTTTAGAACTTTTTTTTTTCTCAAAAAAATACCCAACTTTTACTGGTTACTTGTAAATTGAGTATTTTTTAACATTTTAAACCTAAAACTTTTTTTTTTCAAAATAAATCCAATTTTAACATATTCCTTGTTATTTAGTTAATGAAGCCAGTTACCAAGATGTAACCCTATATCCTCCTAACTCATGTGTGCCCTAAGCATCAATCACCAAAATAATCGATTCTAAAATCCTAGGTCATGTTTCTGCTTCTTCTTCTTGTACACCATGTTGGTTTCCCTAAAATGACTTCTTCAAGCTAGGAACATGAACTTAGTAAGAAATATTGAAATAGAATTATGTTATTGTGATGATGAAGCTCATGTATTTACCTCGCGTCCCAAAGTTGTTTTTACAAGATTAAACATGTTTTCATATGCTACCCCAAGGCTATTTTCACAAGGTGTGATGGTATGTTTATTTCAACTTAATATGAGACAGTTTTGCAAGTTAGCTACTATTTTTTATTTTATTATTATTATTATTATTACTATTATTATTATTATTTTACATTTAAACTCATTTTGTCTCAAGTATTAATCAACATGTCACAAAATGGCTAGATAAATCTATTTTCATGTTTTTCATTACTTATCAACGTTTTACAATGTTAAGGATGTTACAAGCGAGATTAGTTAGCACAGTCCTATTTATCACATTTTGAGGTCTTGGGCATTCTAATGAACATACAAAAACATAGTCCTTTACATTAACATATTCCAACATTATAAACCGAATGTTAAAGATGTTACAAGCAAGATTACTTAGGAGTGGGAAACCTTTATACGTTTAATATATCACTTTTATTCAAATGGAAGTGGTGTCTTTTAAACAATCCAAATGCTCTATGGATGCATGTTTTTTAAAATATTTATGGAGGGGATTGTCATTGACACATAAACATTCTTGCGGGTCATGTAGATGTGCCATGGGTTTGACATTTTGTGTTCCACCAAACAATTAATTGACAAATGTGTCAACCTTGACTCTTTAGCCTTTACGCTCGAAAAAATGGGCGATGATACGAAAACAATATTTTAGGAATATACTTGGTTGGGTGAGATTCGTTTGAAAACTCTTTCTCTTAGATTTTTTTATCTTGACCCAAACAAGCTAGCTTTGGTTCATGACCACCGTTTGCTTGAAATGTGACCTTCTTACTTGCATCATGAATTGAGAGGAAGGGTTGAGTTAGAACAATGGAGGAGTTTACATGATTTGTTTCAAAATGTGGTTTAACTTATCAAAGTGAGAGATGGAGGTATACATTAGAAGCCAATGGGGAATACACAATCTCTTCGGCAAGGCGATTAATCGATAAGTACAAGTTACTTATTGAAGATTATCCTACTCGATGGATCAATCTAGTTCATGTTTTGGTTTGGATGTTTAAGTTAAACAAACTTTACAAACGTGGAATTGATTTGGATTCCTTTTATGCACTACATGTGGCATTGGAGCACAAGTTTTTCTTTTGTCCCCTCGCGGATCATGTTTGTGCTCAAATATCTCGTTTGGTGAATATTGTTGTGCGCGCTTTGCCAACTTTTCAGAGTTTTTTTTTGCGTGGAAGAATCAACTCAAGATTACTTGATTTCAAAAGAAGTGTCTTGATGTTGTTTTGCTTATGACTTGTTGGGCGATTTGAAAGTTTCAAAATGAAACTATCTTTGGAACATTTAAAATCAATGAAGGCCACTACTTTTTACTATAATGTTGCATTTTTTTGGTTTTATAAAAAGACCACTAAATTAAAACTTATTTGGGTTGGTTGAATTCAAAATCTGGTTAATACTAGAAACCATATATAATCTCGTTTTAGCACTGTTAGAACAAATACATGTATAATGAACAAGAAATTAAATATCATCCTACTTTTATTTCTAATTATCTTTTTACGCATGTGAAATGATGACAAGTGTCTTAAAATATTATTAAAATACGACACTTGTTATAATTTCATATGAGTATCAAGATAAATAGAAAAAGAAAAAATAGGAAAATATTTAATTTCTAGTAATGAACCAATTACAAATTAAACAAAGCTAGTGAAACAAGTTATGATAAGTTTTCTTCATCCAAGTAACTCATCTTGAAATAATCTTTTTCTGTATAAATGTTATCTTACTTAAACTCAATAATTTCTAAATGAAGTTAAGTTCATTTTCATTGCTAAATTTGAAAAGTAGTACCTCTAAGATTCTTTTGAGTACTTGAGTTGAGGGCGTGTCTCCTTTTATAGTACTATGTGCTTCTCATTTGACTTTGACTTTTGTAAAGTCTACTATTGACTCTTATACTCTTAATAAGTTTGTAGTTTGCTAGAAAAAAACAAAAAACAAAATGTGTTAAAATCTTAAGACAAAACGTTATCTTTCAATGAAAAATATTTCTCAGTCATCTTTGATAATTTGTTATTTTCCTGATAATAAATAAAGTTTTGGGTAGTATTGTATTTAGAAAAAGAAAAAGTTTGATATAATATTTTTGTTTATCATAGAATGAAAGTATGCAAATTAATTAGTGTTCATCAAATTCACGTGTATAGCATTCTACCAGATTCCAGAAACAACTTTTACACTAGCATGCATGTGCATCTAACTTAACCGATTTTAATCACATATATATATATATTCTATTTCATATTTGCAAGAGTATTACAACTAATTAACACATAAAGTCATAAAAAAGGTTAATAGAAAGTACAAATAAGTGCTTCTTCTTTTTTAATCTTTTGAATTAATCCGCTCAATGTTTCAATAATTGTGAATTTACATGAGATAGGATTATTTTTTCTTACGTAGTATTTGTGAAAATCATTTTATATGAAAATTAGTTGTCGTATTGTCATGTACATCTTTGTTGTATTAGGCATGTACTATATATAAGCAATAATAGAGTATATGATTTAGATATATAGTAATATTTTAGTACAGGTAATTAGATTTCATTGTTTAAAAGTTTAGGGTCCCACTACTTTAGATGTACTCAAGTTATCAAAGCATTTGGAAAGAATAATGCACAAGTAGGGGCAACGAAAGTTATAAATCCATTACCAAGCGAATGCTACAAGACTGGATTTTTTTTAGAACGACCGAATTTTATTAAAAACACTAAAAAGAGTTTAGAAAATATCTATTACAAAGAAATATAAGATAAGGCTGTGTTTTTGCAATAGGAAGGCACACAACAACTTAGATTTTCACACCTATTAGAAAAAAATATCATATCTACCACATAATAAAAGTAATGGATTTCTTAAAAACAATCGTCCAAAAAATAATGGAATTACGAAATTCCATAAACAACAGTTGACAGTCATTACAAGTGCATCAAACGCCTTCGGTTGGCATCATACAAATTAATCTGAATCCGCCCAAAAAGTAACCAAACAAAAAATATGAACAAAAGAATACAACATTTGAACACGTGTTTAATGTTCCTAAAGGCTAATATGCATATAATTATGTGTATTAAGAATGAAATTCTATATTCTTTCGTATTACTTAAATATGCAAAAATATAAATGCCATATTCTTACGTCGAAAATAAGCAACTCCTTTTTTTTTTATAATGGGTAAATAGAACCGTATTGACAAAGAACTCATGATTATAAATTTATAATTCAAGTTGTATTGAAATTGAATTCAAATAATAAAGCAATAAACTTTTTTTTTACTAAGAAAAGTAAACATTGAGAAATGGACTTTTAACTGAATAACGAAAGAAGGATATAACTTCTGGAAATGGACCATAATAGTCATTTTTTTGGTGGTGTTTTACAAAAAATAGACAAGAAAATGGGTGTTTCCACATATAGATATGGATTCTCCACAGCACCCTCCTAGTGCTCCGCGGAATCGACTTAATCTACAAGGAATCGATGTGGCGCAAAAAAAAACAGAAGAAAATTTTCGCGGAGCTACCTCCAACGAATGAACTTTTGCTCCGAGGAATCGATGTGACAAAAAAATTGAAGTCCATTCCTCGGAGCAAAAGTTCATTCCTCGAAGGTAGCTCCGTGGAATTGTTCTTCAGAGATATATATTCATTCCTGGGAGCATAAGTTAATTCTTTGGAGCAAAAGTTCACGGAGGTAGCTCCGCATAATTATTTTTCATATTCTTTTTAGCGTCACAACGATTCCTCGGAGATTAAGTCAATTCCACGGAGCACTCGGAGTGTGCTTTGCGGAATCCATATCTATATGTGGAAAAACCTATTTTTTTGTCTATTTTTTGTAAAACACCACCTGAAAATGACTATTATGGTCTATTTCCCTATAACTACAGGTTTAAAATACCTCAAAGCTAATTACTTTTTGAAATTAAATGTCATTTATCGAATAAATATGAGATTATAACTTGTACTATCTCAATTAATTACTTATGTCATGATAATAATAGTGAGGTTCTATTTGTCAAATTAGTTGAAAATATAACTTGTAGCTCATAAGTTAATTTATGAATTAAAAATATTTGGTAAAAAATAGCTTATAAGATTGATCGTAATGTAAAATGATATAAATAGACATTACAATATATAACTAAAAGAAAAAAATAGATATAATTAAAGGCATATTTGAAATATTTTTCAAAAAACTTTATAAATGTAACGTCCCAAAAACCATAGTAAAATTTTTAAAATTTTAAAAAGGATAAAAACCATTTTCATAAATTTCAACATCATAAAACATATGTTTCTCAACATAAATCCAAAATCAGAGGATCACATCAAACAAATCTCAAAATCATAAAAGTTGTTGCAGAGTGTATAGTCACACCTTTGCTTTTCCCCGATCCTCAGAAGTACCTGAAATATTTAAATCCACAACTGTAAGCCAAAGCTAAGTGAGTTCCCCAAAATATCACATACAACACAACACAAGACAACTAAACATATGTAACAACTATGAATTATCAGCAACCCTGAGTTATCAACAACTCAAATATAACATATGTGGGTTATCAGCAACCATGAGTTATTAACAACTCAAATACACCATATGTGGGTTATCAACAACCCTGAGTTATCAACAACTCAAATACAACATATGTGAGCTATCAGTAATCTCGACCCATCAACGACTCACATTGATACAACCCATGAGATAAGTAATACAGTGAGAATACTCACCTCACAGACAAAGCAAAAAATACGTATAACTATGATAGGTGCATTTTATGCACCTATTTTA